TTAGCCTCTGATTTTGTACATATAACTGACTTCAAAGTTAGACTTTCTTTAGAAAGGGATTCAGAAGTAAATGCTTAATCCATCAGAAGCAGCAGGATCCAGAATGATGCTAAATGTCATATTAAAATTGGGAAGCAGGAGAGGCCAGTGTCTGTCTGAGTCATTTTTCAATTGACCTGTTGAAGTAATTTCTAAAATAGTCACATTTCACAGTACATATTATATATCATTGTGTTTGTTTATTTACTGTGCCACATTGTTAGAGGTGGAATTTAGAGAAAAGTAATTTCTTTTGGATTCTGTGTACTACTCAAGATTGCACAAGGCTTGTCAACGTGATAAATATCAAATATTTTTTAAAACATGACTTTCTATCATAATTAATAGCAATTATAGTAAATTTGTTAAATATAGTAAAAAAAAAATGAAAAATAATGAATCAGTCAAAATCTACCACTCAGACACAAATAATAAAAATCTGGTGTATTCAATAGCCATTTCAGCAAATTGTTATTTAAAAACATACAATTCATAGGTGTATTGTGTGCTTTGTATTTGGTTTATGTGGAGACTGTGCATATATGAAATACATCAACTTTTTTTAAAAAAATGAAGCTGAATATTTCTTTAGTTCCCTTTATGAAACAGATAATTGTGTCCTTATGTCTAGAAACTTTCTTTCCATGCATTGGCCAAGCTGTTCTTCTTAGAAGCCTTATGAAGAGAAACAAATACATGGGCAAAGAATAATTTTAACATCATTTAGTAGCAATGCATCATTCACTCATTAATCAACTCCTCACTGCATTTCTATTAGCAGATTTCAGTTCCCATATGATCTCAATGTAACTATTCTTGGTACTTGGTAAATGATTCATGCTATAGCAGGCCTATCATTTGTACAACGGTCAGCAGGACCAATCCATGTCCTTTGGAAGTGAGTGTGACCTCTGTGCTGTGCTGTGTGCTTAGAGCCTTTCACACTGTCAGCATTTTATTTCCTGTAAATGAAGTGAGGTAGAGAGTGGCAGAAATCCCTTGTGCTAATAGCTACTCAGATCTGTGTGTTCTGTAACTAATCAATCTGAGGTGTCACTAACTAGGACAATTTTTTTCTACTTCTTCTGAAGGTAGAGGATTAAAATAATTATTTCAATTCCATTAGCCAGAATATTCTCGATGCTGAAATTCTTGTTTAGGAGCCTTCAAGCATGTGTCTAGAAATAGAATGAGCTTAACATATTTGAAAGTATTTTATACAATCCTTATAGAATAAAATTACAATTCCAGTAATATTATTTGAAAACAAGAGGGAAGGGCAACTGATAAACTTAGTGATAATTCCTCCATACATAAACTAGCACTTAAATATAAATTCACCTTATACTTGGCAATGATTTTTATGCTTAAAATAAAACTGGTAAAACAATAGATACTTCATGTGTGACAGTACAGATAGGAAGACTTCCCCAGTTTGCGTTTATCCAGCATTTGCTGTATTCATATCAACAAATGTATGGGTTCTGTGTGCATGAGTATGTGTACATGTGTGTGTAGGCATGTACAAGAAATACCCTATATTCCACAATTACTCACACTAGCTTTTAGATCATTGCTGCAGGATTTTCATAAATTTGACCTCTGATTGTTTACGTTTATTATTAGCCACAGTTTTAAAAATCTAAACTTTATCATAAAATCTCTGCTACAGATTCAGTAACCAAGAAAAGAGTTCTTTTAGAGAAACTTTTAATATACAGATGAATAAAAAGTTAATCAGTAACTCTGATAGAAAATAAATGGAATGATTTACTGTACTAAGGAAAAATGCAAGGATGGAAAGCATATGACACAAAAGCCATAAGGCAAAGCAAACATGTACATATGA